CTTGTGATGGACAATGGAGAGAACAGGAAAGTACAGTCTGTATCCGCAGCGGTCATAACCCAGCACCTCAGGAATCCGAAGATTGCTGTTCGATGACAAGGGTGTACATGCTTCGTGCCATTCACAGCCTTAACTGAGCCGCAGTAAAGACCAATCACGAGTGTGCAGAAGGAAGAGAGAGAAGAAGAAGAAGAAGAAGAAGAAAGAAAGAAAGAAATGGGGGGAGGGGGTATTTATATTTTCCCAGTGACTGAAGACGAAGAAGGAACTGGGGTCGGTGACGAGTTTGGACAAAAAGGGAAGGCAATACTGCCTCACATGGAAATGCTTTTCTAGACTCAAAGATAAGAAGAAAGCAAGACAACTGATGTTGAGCTTAGCTACCATATTGCCAAAAGCTCGAGCGGTCTGAAGCTGTTTGATTTGTGAAGAAATTCTCTTCAACGTTCCTTTATCGATGCGATGTTTCGTTATTTGGAGATGACAGATGGCCAAGATAGATGCTGAAGATCTGTAACCGTAACTATAGGGTCAAATATCAAGCAATACCTTTAGGAGGCACGCAGTATACTAGTCTCTGATGAATAGAAATAAACGCACTAGCGTCTTGGCAGTGGAACCGGGAAATAGAAAGTGCTTGTCTAGGGTGGAAGCTGTTTTCGCTAGTGACTCTAAGCATCTGTACATCTCAATAGGACGGTATAGGACGGTAGCCCACCGGTATACGCATGAAACTGATTTCGATCCATGCTGTATGTCTAGACGCAACTGTAAAACAGCGAAATGACTACGGCAAAGAGAGGGATTGGGAGGCTCTCCAATAGCAACCAGATGGTGAATATATCAATCTTTCGGTAATTAAAAGCGTGGCCACGACACCACATCCTTCCCCCTCCCCCAACTTTCTTACTTCTCTGGCTTGCCTCTGAGGGCATCAATCACCCGGGTCGGCCTCCTTGGTGTTACGGTGAAATAATGGAAGTGCCCCAAGCCAAGGATATTCATCTGTTGAGTAACAGATGCTTCTTCAAGGAATATTGACTAACTACAACATAGGAGTTCTTGATGAATACTCCACCCTACTGCATTCCGAGACCGCCTTCCAAATCCGGGACAGTGCCCATGCTGACGAGAGACAATGCACAAGATGCGAATCAAGACTTAAGACGAGTACGGCTATGAGAGCCCACAAACGCGGAGTCAGCTGGTAAGAAGAATGAATTCAATGACTATCTGTCCGCTGGGAAAATATACCCCCAGTTTTCTGCCTCAGAATTCCGACTCAGGCCCGGATAAAAAGTTCATCTGAGCTTTGCCCCACAATGCGGGACGGGAACGAACCGCACTGAAACGCCGTGACAGTCGGCATCTTCGGGCTTGGCATCCGCGCCTGTCTGGGAGGCTCTTTCGAATGGGGTGCCGATGTCGCTGTAGTATAAAGAGGCCAAGGACCGGGTGGTATGGTTCCTTGGATAATGTCGCTGACTGTGTACGTGTACACGGGCCACTGTTCAAACGTTAAGAGGACGTGAGGAAACTGTGCTTGGGAGGCCTCCTCTTTAGTCGCTGAATGGTCTTGTCCCGACTTGCAACTTTGGCTTTGAGTTGCTCGATGGTAACTCCAAACTGACGTCAGAATTGTTGTCGTTATAACATGTAGTCGCTCCTCATCTACGTCCTCATCGACGTCCTCATCCCCGGCCACGTTCCTACGAAAGTATAAGCTCAAATCTTGAGGGGTCTCTCTAGACCACAACTACTAGGACGAAGACGCGCACGTTGTAGACGAAGACGACGACCAACCGCCTGGTTCTCTACTCAGTTCTCCGCTTGGCCCATGTTGTGTATGAGCTCAAGACGATACTGCGGCTGGTTCGCAGCAAGAACCCATCTCTATTCATTTTCTTCTATGCTGGTCAGGGTTCCATCCACTTCAACCGAGGAATTTTCAATATGGGGCCAAAATATACATGTTTAGGGTTGGGGATATCAAAGTTGGTATTGGTCTATGCAATTTCATTATGCAAATATCCTGTTGCTGATAGATCCAGCGAGATGATATGGGACAGATCTATATGAGATAGGGGAATGCTAGGCAAAAGACATCAAAATCAAGCGAGGGTCAAATCATCATAAGGGTCCAAGGAAATGTAGGGAAGAGAAGGCGCTCCATGAAGCTAGGAAATTGTGAAGGAAAAGAGCGCAAGAGAAGGAGAGGCATAGGTCCAATGATGGATCCAATTATGCTGAAAAAGACAGTCCAAGGAAACGAAAACGAAACACGCTGTGTAAGTGGGGGTATAAAAGCTCTATCATCTAACCAAACATAGGAATAAGGGATCGTGGGATGGACAAAGGAACGCCCGAGTCTAACGCACATATGGGAATTGCAAGGAAGCTGTCGGGCTGATATATTGGTATCATTCAGCGATGCCGATTTTGTCTGCGGCATCGGATGGCGAGCGTAAAGAGGAGGACCGAGGAGGCCGAAGGGGACTGGTTTCAAGGGTTTGAATAGGAGCGAATGGCGTTCTGCCGCTTGAGGGAGATCCGGTCTCGTCTGCTGGGTGCTCGTCGGGCATAACAAAATCACCTGGTGTACCAGGTTCGTCGAACTCATCAACTTCTTCAGTTTCTTCCTCGATGCCTTCGATATCTTCCTCTTCCTCGATAATTTGGCTCTTGCGTGCAGCAGGCCGCCCTGTCGCGAGATCGGGACCGCCGGTATTCACCGGCTGACCGGGAACGGAGGAGTTGGCTATCCCACCAGACCCCATCAAGTTACTGGTATGGATCATAGGACCCTTGAAGAGAGATCTCTTTCGCCTTGCAAATACCAGGCTTGAGGAGGGCGAGTAGAGTAATGGCGTTGGTACCGCCTCATTAAACGAGGACGACATCGGATCTGGGTGGTCGCCGATCTCTCGAGGCGCTCCGCCTGGCCCTCTCACCAACCGAATATTGCTCGGGAAGCGGGATGACGCACCTGGGGTGGTGGGCAGGACTTTGACAGATGAATGAGGCGATTTGGAGGCTCTGGCAGTGGGCGTGGAGACAGTATCTATACTGTTGGAGGAAATCGAAGAGGCCTTGGAGTGAGCACGAGCGTGGTGGATGCTACGGATCGATGATACCGAGGAGGATGTGGATTTGCGTCCTCGTAGTCCGGCCGATGAACGCCGATAGGACCCGCGTGGTGTGATAGGCGAGGGCGACAGAGAGTTTCGATGGCTATTATGACTGGTGTTCAGTGGCCGCGGCTGGCGAGGGTAAGAGTGGCGGTTTTGGCGGTATGAGGCACTGCTAGGAGCGAGGCTGCTCGCAGTGGAGATTCGTTTGACCTGGGTGGGTGTCACAACCTCCTCCCCTGCGACCCCACTTGCTGGAGAAGACACAGCCGCAGGCTTTTTCCCAGTATCTTGACTCTTGGCCGGGCTCAACTTATCGGAAAGGAACTTGCGCGAGTTTGTCGATTTGGCATGAGGAGACCGCGCTCTCTTCGCCGACTCTACAAACCAATGCTTGAGAGATGCCAGTTGGCTGAGTATCGGATACTGGTGACGGCGACTAGTGCGACGCCGGAAGATGCCGTGCTGCTGTGATAACTCCGGTTGTGATGCGCTCACATGCAGCATGCTGGGCCGTGATCGCCGCCTGTCTTTTGGCGGTGGAACTGGACGGCGTAGTGTCGAGTTGTGGGACCGTATAGAATCTTTGTCGAGCGGCAATGGTGGCGTGGTGGCCTCAATTGGAAGTACAGGAAGCGGTTCAGGGAGCGCAGGAAGATCTGGCACAGCCAACTGAGATGGTAAGCTTCTTCTATCTCGTCTCCCACGATCTCGCAACCCTGAGCCTTCTTCCTCCACCTCCATTAAAGCCGATGATCGCTTCTCTAGACGACTGCTCGCGGCGCTCAGACGACGAAGGTTTTTTGCTTCGGCCTCCCGTTCGCGACGCTTGCGCTCTCTCTTTCTTTCCTTCCGTTGCTCTTTTTCAATCAGCAGGGCCCACCAGCCAGCCAGTGGGTCGCAGCGCTGAGCCAGGACATTTTCGATGACCTCGTCAATATTGACCCCAGCGCTTTTCATCCGCTGCAAGGTAGTCTTCTCCAGTGAGGTAGTAAATGGCGACGGTCTTGGAATTTTCAGGATTGCAAGCTGTTCGGGAGCATGTTCCGCAAGGAACGGATGAGCCAAGATCTCGTCCAGACTGGGTCGAATCAAAGGCCGTTTGGATAGCAGGAGATTGACCAAAGCCTTGGCATCGTCCGTGAACTTTTCGTTGAAGGTCGGCTCGTCTGACAATATCCGCTTTTTGGTGACTTGGTCGTCATCGTCGTCATATGGCAGCTCCCCTGCCAAAAGCGCATACAGAATTATTCCCAGGCTCCATACATCCACCTTTTCGCCCGCGTATTTCTCTCCTTTGAGCATCTCGGGCGCACTATAGCATATCGTCCCACAGAAAGTCTGAAGATAGCTAGCCTTCCCTTCATATTCACGCGTAAACCCGAAATCGCATAGCTTGACGTTTTCCTGTTTATCCAGTAATATATTCTCCAGTTTCAAGTCGCGATGCACGCAGGATTTACTGTGGACGTAGGCGACCGCTCCCACCAATTGTGTAAATATCCGCTTCACTTTCTCTACCGGGAGTGGGCCGTGTCGAAGGAGGTAGTTGTAGAGTTCATCGCCTAGAACAAACCTTCGTCAGTATTTCTCCCAGGCGTCTTCTGCCATGCGCGTAACCTACCAGGACAATACTCCAGCACAAGCCAAACGAGGCTCTCAGTTACCACTACTTCATATAGCCGTGCGATATGGGGGTGGAGGAATTGGCGATGGTGATGGATCTCGCGCACGAGATTGGTGTCCTCCTTGCTGGACGATTTGAGCACCACCTGCGGACTGATCAGTATTGCCCCCACAACCCTGTTCTTCGTATGGCATGGCCTACCTTAGAGCCATTGGTGAGCTTGTGCGAGGCGAGATAGACCTTGCCGAAGGATCCCTTCCCAATCAGCCTCCCCAGTGTGTAATTTCCTACAGTTCGAAGATCCTTGGAGGAGAACTCCCTGCGGAGAAGGACCATGTTAGCACAACTAGCCATCTATACCAGAACCAAAGAGATCGCTTACTCAAGGAGCTCATTGTAGGAGTTTGCAAGCTGTCGAGAATCCTGAGTTAGCCCTATTTCCACGGACTGCGCAAGGCTCAAACGAAGGAAACCGGCGGAGAGCCCCTATGTCGCACCCCTGATGACGCACCTTCTCCTTCTGTTTCTGGCTTTGAACCCCCGCTCTTGTTCGGGGCGGCATATGTTATGATTGCCAAGTTTCGTCGAGAGAGGCTATGCGCGTCAAGGGGTTGACTAAATGGTTGTTGTGTCGGTGGTGCCATTCAACGGTACACGAGATGCGCGGATAAACGGTATCCGGAGCGGAGGTGAGAGGTCGAAAGACGTTTCAGAAAGGGGTAGCTGGGGGCTCGGAAAGATGGCCGGAGAAAACAGAATAACACCGCGAATGGTGAAAGGAGAAGGGAAATTGCATACAAAGGTCTTTGGAAGATTCCAAGACGTCAACGGGAACGTGGACCGTGTGGAGAACTCGGGACTTGGACGGGCTCTCCTTTTTTCCTTGGAGTCTTCTATTATTATCTTTGTGTACAATATACATCATACATTATATATTTTAAATATATTATGTATTCCGGACTCTCGTTCCTATCTAGAATCTCCTGGCAATGTTCATAATTGTCAGCGAACCGGTGTATGTAGGCATGTACATAACTTATTGGCTAGAATGCTTAAACTCGACTATAGCCCTGAATCCACAAACTGACCATGATCACCACAACCCAACTCGTAGACAGGTGATATGCGTTGTCACTTCCTTACTGCCTAAGATTCAACCCTTGCTTGTGGACGGTACATGTAACCTGATGGGTGGGGGTTTTCCTATTTGAGCTGCCGCCTTCATGAGAGTGCTCAGGCTCAGGCTCACTGAGTAGATCCCACTTAATTATTTACATAACTATGTAGTAGTTAGACCTGGAACACCGCTATGTGATTAGGTACCTAGGTAGCCCTGGAAGAGCCTCGGGCGGTAGTAAGCTTGGTAATCGTGACACGGTCCACCACGCACCTTCCCGGTGTAGGTGCACCAGATCCCAGATTTTCAAATTAGGTATATTTTGTATGGGATTGCCATACAAAAGGTACATAAACACAAATTGAGCATAACTCAGCCCTCAAACTAGATAAAGGAAAAGTAAAGAGGGCAAGTTATAATATGAGTCTAGTTTAGCCGATCTAATATAAAAATCAATTCTACTTAGAAGCGTAAAGAGCTAAAGAACACTTTTCCGAAAACCACATATAACCTTGGAAATATTGCGTAGAAAAGTAGAACTACTCTCTCACTTTACACTCTTGATATTTCCTACTATAGTCAACAGTGTATAATTAGGACATGATTTACATTATGTATTATGTATATATCTTCTGATATCCCCTAGCCTTTTTACAGGTTGAGAAATCGTGTTATACTTATATTGCGTCTTAGGTATATTTTGTATGGCAATTTGTACAAAAGATACCTAATTTGAAAATCTGGGATCCGGTGTGGCCACCGACACCGGGAAGGACGGTTGCAAAATTGGACGTGGCACGACACTTTTTCTTTTCTTTATATTGTCGGGCTTCATCCGGATTCCCCCACAACCCCACACCTGGAGCGAATCTAATGCAAGCGTAAAAAAGGCAAAAGTAGAATTTGCCGGATGTTCCCCGGACAGTTCTTTTGAATACTTCACCAGATCCCCATGGACTCCGTTTTGTATTTAATCTCCTTCTAATTTTATGGAAGTTACGCCCCGCGGATCAGGTAGATCCGACAACTATACGCATTGAACACTGTAGAGGTTCTCTCTACATCTCCACTCGTTATGGCCAAACAGCCGAACGCTTTCGAGAACATACCAAGTAAGGTTTTACTGGTCACACATTCTTTTTTCCTGCCTATAGGCGCTCTAACTTTGCCTTTGAAGACAACACTGCTTCTTGGTGGTACAGAGATCCAGGTTTGAGGGCGAATGTCGCCCATTGGTGAGTCTCGATTTGGTAAAGAAATGTCTCTTCTGTCATGACCTAACAAGAGCTTGGTAGTCTGGGGCTGTGTCTAGTAATATATTATCTTGTTCGTATTCCACCCTCCCAATTCCACCATCCTGCACTAAACAAGTTAATAGGGCTGTCAGTATATCACTTCTTTCCCCCTTTCCCCTCGGCCCGGAGCTGACTTTCCTCTATTAGATGATGCCGGCCTCCTTAATGGATTACAGGCTATCGAGGCTTGGAACGAAATATTCAACTATCCCACAGGTGCCCTACTCGGGTTATATGCCGCGTCTTTATATCTCCCTTCAATAATCACCGCGTACCTAGGCGATATCATGTCCGAAAGATTTGGGCGGAAACTGGCCTTGGCCGTCGGATCCGTTTCTGTCTTCGGTGGGGCGTTGATAAACGCGTTGGCTACGACACCAGGGATGTGGCTCGCAGGTATATTTAAGCCCAAGCCTCTCCATATGCTTTTTATTAACACTTTCCCAGGTCGTGCCATTATGGGTGCAGGAGGTGGTATTGCGAAAGTGGCCACACCAGCGCTCATTCAGGAAATCGCCCATCCCCGACTTCGTCCCATGCTAGCTTGCTGCTACTATCCATTTTTCTACTTTGGTAGCCTACTGTCCGCACTGCTTTGCTGTATGCTCGCGCAATTATTTCGGGGTTTCAATTCATGTTAACGCTGACCGAATTCCACAGTCGCTGCGCTATCCATACCAAATGACTGGGCATGGCGGATGCCCTCACTGATGCAGATCGTCGGGCCGTTACTTGTTCTAGCTACATTGATAAGATGTCCGGAATCTCCACGTGTAAGAAACTCCACATTTTCCATATCTCTGCGTCGATGATTAACACCTTGGGTTCAGTGGCTTGTCTCTAAGGGCCGTGTGGCAGAAGCTTCTAATATTTTAGCGGAATACCACGCTAACGGCAGTACTGACGATCGTCTTGTACGTTGGGAATTAGTCGAAATCGAGACATCAATCGAGAGCGAAACTACCAGCCATAAATCCTCCTACTTCGACTTCTTTAGAACGAAGGGAAACCGTCGGCGCCTTGTCGTCCTTCTCTCTCTGTCTATAGGCTGTAATTGGGTCGGAAACGGCATTATTGCCTAGTGAGCTTCCTTGCGGGTCATTGTCTGAACATTTTAGCTGACTATTGTGTCGCAGTTACCTTACACCGGTGCTTCGATCAGTTGGAATAGAATCTCCCGTGAAATTGACGCTCCTTACTTCGGGACTGGGTAGGCAAAGATTGGGACCAATACTTAAACATATCCTTAGCAGCTAGCTAACGCAGGCTCTTCATAGCAATCTGGAACCTGATCCTTGCATTTGGCGCTGCACTGAATGTCGAGCGATTCGGTCGTCGTCCTTTGTTTCTTATTTCCATCATCGGGATGCTCGTTTCTTACGTGCTTGTCATGGGTCTATCAGCCGGCTTTGCGAAATCAAGGAGCCATGCTCTGGGTACTGCGGTCATCCCTTGCTTGTTTATGTTAGTGGTGCTCCCAATCTCCCGCCTTGAAAGAAAAATAGGCTAATTTAAACACTACAGATACTACGGCTTCTACGACATCGCATGGACGCCGTTACCTGTTCCGTACACCGCCGAGATCTTGCCCTTCAGATTACGAACGAAAGGTCTTGCGCTTTTTACCTCTTTTGGTACAATGGCGAATGCTTTCAATCAATTCGTCAATCCTATTGCTCTAGATGCATTGGAATGGAAGTAGTAAGTGTCCTACCAACCTCGTGAAGCGAAGAAGCTTACTTTTTGCAGTTACGCTGTATATATCGTCATACTATCCTTCTACCTGGTATTTGCGTATTTCATGTACCCGGAAACAAAGAACCATACCATTGAAGAGGTCTCAATGATATTTGACAAGACTGATGGCGATATCAAGCGGCTGTATGACAGTGCAATTCGCAAGGCTGGGGAGAGCGATCTCGAGATGGCGGAGCATGAGGAGGACATGGAAAAGAATAAGAGATACTCTCATTGTGAGAACATTGCCAAAGCGTAGCAGCGCTGTTGGTTCATTTGTTTGAGACCATTCGATCGGAGGGAGCGCATTATTATCATGCCGAATAGCATTCTAATGATACATTTGTTTAACGCTCATTCCATCTCTTGATAATTCACATTCACCGAGAGCTCACGTCTGCTTTATCTCGCTGGGAAGGTCACACCGTGTGCGTGGCCGTGAGGGCTAGCGCATTAAGAAGGAGGAATAAAAGGCTGCGAGAAACTCAGATACTGGGCGAGGTCGAGGCCCGACTCTTCCACGAGAAGGCCTTGACCGATTAAAGCACTGATATCGAAGTCCCAATTGAGATCTGTAGGGCCAGAGTCCAGCACCGAAAAACTATCGAGGACATGTTAGTTCACAGCAAGTACATCCGCCCAATCGAAAGGAGATTATACTTGACACCAGTTTGACCAGGTTCCGCATCGAATAATACACCAGCATGTCGTGCTAGGTCGCGGCTCAGCTGGGCAACCCAGCCACAAATGCCGGTTCTAGAAAAGTCATTGGATTCTAAAAGCTCAACTGCCTTCTGGAAGTAGTGTGCCAAAACAAGTTGATCAAATGGCAGAGTAAGCTTTGCTCGAAGAGCAAGTAAACGAACGAGAAATACCGCGGCTTGGCCTAAAATGAGAATAAGATACTGCAGAAGAAAACAGGATATGTCAGAGAGGCTTCATATTTGGCGAACGGTTGGTACCCACATCTGTGCCAAAGCGGATAATCGGATCGGTATCAGATCGCTCAGTGTAGAGCTGGACAATTGAGACAGCCGCCTCACAAGCTCTGGTCAAGCATGGTGCTGCTACATCCCTTTCGTGATCTTGATCTCTTGCATGGGTAGCAAAGAGATTCAGCGACAGCGAATTCAAGCATAACCGGGTATGCTCTCCATATATGTGGGTCATCTTGGCATGGTTTCCAAGCGAAATGGCACCGTATGAACCTAGAGGAATGAGCTTTAATTGAACAATGAATAGTTAGCATACTAACCACGCCAAGTCCATTGAAGTTGCCACTCGTCTAGGCGTTGATTTAACGCAGATAGAAGACCCGAGACAATGCACACCGGCTGATTTAAATCCCTAGAGGGTTTTGGTGGTAATCGGGCTTCGCGTAACCCACAAATCAAATCTGTTGCAATCTGCAGTGGATTTCGATTAGTCCAAATATCAAGGGAGCAGAGTGACCGAAAAGGACTCACCAATGAAAGCTCTGCTAGACTTGCTACATGCGCCGCAGCTGTCGGGTCGATATAAGATGAGGATCCCAGCTTGCGCACGAGGGCAAGATATTGTTGAGGGCTGGTCGGTGGGGAGGTCGTTGTATGAGGACGGCCAAACCCAAGACTCAGAAATGTGTCATATCTACGAAGGGAGGCAGTTAGCCGGGGTTCAGTAAGGCGAAGGTTTGAAAAGTGACCTACTGATGAATGATTAACCACGTGTGCCATTGATTTACGATACTATTCGCCTTCTGGATATCATCGGGATCGACCTGACCCGATTCCAAAGTGCGCGCAATCAGGGGGTGATTGGCAGTATTCGGTAACCCAATACGGTACGCCAGACGAGTACATAGGCCGGTGATCATCCACTGGTCTGGAGACTGACCATTTCCTCGTGGGATCCATACTGAAAAGAGGACCGAGGCTTGCACATCTGATAGCTGATGTTGTTTTCGGACTAGAACGAACCCAAGATGTGAGACAGCCATATCATTGATTGCCTCGAGGTCGCTGGTGGTGATTTCGGGTAAGCTAGCTATGGCAAATTCAACCTCTCGATATTTGGCATAGTATCGGCCAGCAATCATTAGAATCACGGTAAAGAGAAAAGGAGATGAGGATCGCATATAAGTAAAATAGCTCCCGAGGTCATTGCCTGGCTCAAGAAGCGGAAACGACGGGTGGCACTTGTGGAAAAACCTGCGGGGGTTGATGAGTGTCATCATTCATTCAAAAGTAAAGCTGCCTGGGACTCACAATCTGAAGAGTGCCAATGCCTGTGATTCTTTCACGAGACGCTCCGACACTGGATCACTCTGCAAGTTGACACTGGCAGTATACTGGGTCATACCAATCGCGGGCTGTTCCGGTGAACCCCCTTCAGAGGTGGGCTTTACTGGTTTTCCTGACCACGCAGTTGGATGGAGCATTAATTGAGGAAATGGAGCAACGTTTTCCTGCAACGCAGCCCATCGAGACTGAAGCCCTTCTGGTCCTCCGGGCCTAATAGGGGACACGGGAGCCTGCTGCGACATCGGTGATATGGCCTGGGTTGGGGCAAACAGATTGACGCCAGGTTCGGGGGCGCCAGATGGCGTCCGGGCTATATTATACTGCAGGGCGGAAGATGGATCCGCGATATCGCCCACATTTGATGTCAGCTCTTGCCTCGGAACGAGTTGATTGGTGTCAGCCCAGCGGGGAGACGAGACTAGAAAGCACCCATCTGAAGGAGGGACAGATGACGACTGACGATGTGCTGAAGCCTGCACTGGGTGACTAGACTGCTCTACGGAAGTCAAATGGCTTAGACCAGCCACCAAATTTGTGACGGTCTTCTCGAGCTGTAAGAGACGTTGGTTCGTGACGAAGGGACCCTGATGAGAAGACGTTCCTCGATCATCAAAGTCACACTCTATTTCGGCTCGTTGACATGAAGTGCAAGGGTGACCCCCCGTACATCGTAATTTCTTGTTGCGACATCTCTCACAGGCCCACGTGGCACGTTGAGCTCGAGGCTTTTGATGTTGCCTTTCGTCGCCGATGGCGATTGAGCCGCGACGAGCCGAACGATAACGGCTGCCAGAGCGACGGTCTCGCTTTAATGACGCTGAAGAAGCTGCTTGGTTGCCTGACATAGGGTTATGTATCCTCAAGACTCTTTGTCTTATGACCTAAGTAGGAAAAGAAAAATGAACTAAAAAGATGGGAAACGGGGGAGCCAATGGAGGAAATGCGGGGCCCCAACAATCGGCTAATGTTGCCCTATGCACGCTACCCTGCGAACTACCCACTTCCGCCTCAACTTTAGTTCTTTGAACCCACTGCAATTGTACAAAGGTACAGTACATGTCTTTTTACAACTATTTGGTAAATTTAATGTCCTTGGACAAGGCATTGAAAGGGAACATCGAAATTGGGTTATCCCCTCGGGTACCTTTAGGTGCTTTTACCAAAGTAGGATAAAGTAGGATATGTTTGAAGGTTCTACCTTGTTAGATCAAAGGCAAATATTCGCTCAGTATCTGTGACGAGATTCAAATAGAGCAAACAAATCAAATATAAAGGTGACCGAATGTGAAAGAGACCAAGAGGGCGCGCGCCATATCCCACACATCATCTACTCCTTGTGCTTGTTCTCAACGGAGTCCAATCCTTTCTCGGTATCGGAATCTGCATTTCTTTGCTCAGAATCATGCTCGGACTTTCCAAGCTTCAACCCTTTTCTATCGTAATCAAACATCCTTGAAGCGTCCTCGGCAGACAGTCTCTTGGTCTCGGGAAATAGGAAGAAAATAAGGCCAAAGTAAAACGCCAAAATCCCAACATATACCGCGTAGCTAGCCATATTAGTAAGTGGGTGTACATTCAATACAGAGAAACAGAAGGGGTGGTGGAAGCATCAAGGTACTCACTAGCGCCATGCTATGGCTTTGAGTGCGATCGGATTAACAAATTGGTTGAAAGCATTCGCTAGAGTGGCGGTACTTGTAAATAGGGCCATTCCCTTGGATCGAATGCCGAAGGGTAAGATTTCAACCGTGTATGCCACTGGAAGCGGAGTGAATGCCATATCGTAGAATCCAAAATAGCTAATTTCGAATGGTCAGCCTAGGTCCCTCACGACATGCTAGTCACAGCAGTGCATACATGAACAGGAAAGGTATAACGGCAATACCCATTGACGCTTGCTTGGTATTTGCAAAGCCGGCGGATAAGCCCATAACGATAATGTAAGAGCAGAACATTCCTGCGACAGACCCGAGGAACAGAGGCCGTCGACCAGCTTTGTCGCAATACACAGCAGCGATACCTGCAAGGATCAAGTTCCAAAGCGCTTGGTGAAGGGTTAGAACGCATTTTTGAATCGATGTATAGAGGCATGAAAAAGGAAGACTAACCCAGTCCTGCGTTGATGAGTGTGATCTGAACAGGCGCAGTAATACCAACAGACTTGAGGATGGGTGAAAGGAAACTGAAAATTCTCAGTCAACTTGTTGCCTGGATCTGTAGACACTGGACTTACTAGCTAATGATTCCATTCCCCATCCAGTTCAAGGAGCAAGCCAAAGCCAGAAGTGCTACCAAACGCCTCCTGTTTCCTGGTGTTCGTACAAAATCGACGAAGCTTGCTTTATTCTGGATGAGTTCACGCTCAAGTGCATGACTTATCTCGCTCATCTCTAGTTGGACAAGGGGGTCATTCTCATCACCGTTGGCATGAAGCTTGGCAAGAACATTGTGAGCCTGCTCTCTGTGGCCATTCCTGATGAGCCACTACATGACATAATGAGAATTGGAATGTCGTCTCAGCTGCTGAAGGTTGAACTCACGCGTGGGGACTCCGGGCAATACGCTGCAACAATGATGACGACAAAGGGCCCGATGACCTGAAGCAGGGAAGGGAACCGCCATCCCCAGTCGCCAGGCACATACAGGCCAACAACTGTGGAATTTAGTCATATAAGCGGATTCCCGGGGGTTGGTAATACTCATAATACTCACATGTCATTAGAGCAGCAAAAAGGCTGCCGATATAGGCAAAGGTTTGGTAACAGGAGCCAAGAATAGGTCGAAGTCGGGGATGGGCAATTTCCTGAATCAAAACGGGGGCCGCGACCTTCACGATACCAACTCCTGCTCCCATAATAACACGGCCTCGGAAAAGGGTCAGTTAAGTGGAGCATTAGTTGATAATAAAAGAAGTCACTTACCACTGCACCACATCCCCACGGAAGTAGCGAAAGTATTGACCAATGACCCGATTGCAATGATAACATTTGCTATGATGATGCACCATCGGCGACCCAGTCTGGTGGAGATATAATCTCCAATGAAGGCTGTAAACATTGACGGTAGAAAGAAGGACGCGGCATAGATGCCCAATAAAGCCCCGGTAGGACTTTTGAAGTACCTGGCAGAGAATCAGACCAGATGCTCGGACCGACCGAAAAGTCAAACTCACTCCTGCCACGAAGGCATTGCTTGAAAGCCATTGAGTATACTGGCTTGGTCTTTTGGATATCATATTAGAGAAAGTGCAAAATTCCCACTCGGCACCTAGACTTATCACTCACATCCCTGAAACGGGAATTAGTCACAAGTGGTAAAAAAGAGGCATATAACTATGCATGAGCTAAAGAAAGAAAAAGAGAAAAACTCACGTTAGTGGCAATCACCAGGGAAAGACCTAGTCCAAGAGCCACGTTTTGACGCAGACACGCATCTTTATACCAGATGGGATGGGTATTATCTGAGAACAATGTAAATAATAGCGGGCTTACTACATACTTCATTTTACTCACTTGGCACATCAGTCCACTTTACTTGGGCAGCCATGCTGAAGGTCGCTTTGTTTGTAAAGGTCAAAGTAGGTCGTCGCTAAGCCCAACAGCTTGACCTTTTGAAAGGGCGCATTGCCTAGTTTTTGATCTATCACCATTTATCGTGCCAAGACCTATGTTCCAAACTCGGCAATTTGGTGTGGAGGCGAATTTGTATGCTCGGGGAACTGCCGATATCGTTCTCCACTGAAAGGACTATAATTTGTGCTAGGTTCGGGGATGTTCCCCGAACGTCCATGCAAACTCCTAACCCCTTCTAAAAGTATGCCCACAGTTCATTCAGACTGAACTTGAAAATCTGCTCTAAGTTTTGTGGGGGTGCTAGACTGGTGAAACACTCGCATTGTATGGGTCATCAAAAACGGCTATCTACTGTAGGAGTTATGAGTTGCTCCGCTTCGTTCTCCTGCCCAGCTAGTCTTTCTGGCTTTCTAAATGTTAGAGAACGATGTATTAACATAATCCTATTCGACGTTTCGGTGGCTAGCAAAGCATAAATAGTATCATAGGTAACACAAACTGATATGTAAGGTGCTCACTCATTACGCTCATCTCTAGAGCTAAAGTGCCGGGTCTCACAGCCCGGTCTCTGTAGGCAAATCTTCTAGTAATACTAGCCAGCAAAGGTCTATTGGTATGAGCCTGGAAATCTCGCCTTCCACAGATCTCGCCGACGCCCCCTCGCCCACTCACCCCGCGGGGTTTCGTCTCGGTATTCCCTTCCCCGGGGCCCCAATCTTGGATTTATGACTTGAATGTCATTGGACCACCAAAGGTCCAACCAGTGGGGCTTTTTCTCGTCCCGACAATGCTGTTTTTTCTAGCGTCTCAGTGGGATGGTTATTCACTTAGCTCATCCTGGCCATTCTTTCGGATGACCCCCGAAGCGAGTCAACTGTCATCCATGATATATACTCCGCAATCTCCCGTTTAATAAATTTAATAGTGAAAGCGCTACTTGCATCGACGCAAATCCTCCCTCCAAAAATATGGTCCGCGATCCTGACAGCCCCGTTGTAGACCGTCTCCTCCAAGTTCTGACGCTGGAGGAGAAGGTCTCCCTTCTGGCAGGCCAGAATATGTGGGAGACCACAGCCATTGATCGCCTGGGAATCCCGTCCTTGAAAATGACTGACGGTCCAGCCGGACCCCGCGGCTCTAAATGGAATTATGGCTCGCCGACGACTTTCATCCCCTGCGGAATCTCCCTAGCAGCGACCTGGGATCCCGCGCTGGTAGAGAAAATTGGCAGAGTGTTAGGCGATGAAACCCGACGGAAAGGCTGCAGAACTCTCCTTGCCCCAACAATGAACTTGTCGCGCTCGCCCCTCGGCGGCCGTAACTTCGAGGGTTATGGAGAGGATCCCTTCCTCGTCGGCACAATTTCAACAGCTATCATTCGCGGTATCCAAACTAGCGGAGTGGGCGCGTGTATGAAACACTTTATTCTCAACGACACCGAAACTCGGCGCTTCAACGTCGACCAGAAGATCGATGCACGAACCCTACGAGAAGTGTATATGAAGCCTTTCGCAATGGCGTTGAAGGCGGATCCTTGGACCGCAATGGTCAGCTATCCATTGATCAACGGAGTCCATGCCGACGAAAGTCCTGCTATCCTGCCACAGCTTCTACGTGAGGAGCTACAATTCGATCGCCTTGTAATGAGCGATTGGGGTGGATGCAATAGCACTGTGGAAAGTCTTATTGCCACCACCGATCTCGAGATGCCCGGCCCCCCAGTCCGGCGTGGGGAGCGACTTCTAGCCGCGATCCATGAGGGCAGAATCAACGAAGGCGCCCACGTTGACCCTAGCGCAAAGCGGGTGCTACAGCTTCTGGAAAAAGCAGGTCTACTACCTTCGTTAGCTGAAATAGACGGGCATCCTGTCCAGCAACACACCAGTCTCGAGCAACCTAAGAATGACACCACATTCCACCAAATTGCCCGCCAGGCCGCTCAGGAGGGCCTTGTCCTCCTCAAGAACGAGAAGGTTCTTCCTCTCCAACCGTCGTCCTTGAAAAGCATCGCAATTATCGGCCCGAATGCGCGCAGGCCAACAGCCGGTGGCTCGGGAAGCGCCGCTGTCAATCCGTTCTATCTCACAACACCGGAGGATTGTCTTAAGACAGCCATTACTTCCAGCAATCCTGATACACAAATCAGATATGAGCAAGGATTGCCTTTCACGATTCGTCCGCCCTTATTAGGAGATCTCCTTTCTGTTCCAGACTTCTCCCAGCAAGGCCTCCAAGTCGACTTCTTTGCAGGACACTCGTTCGACGGATCTGTGGTATCAAGCACCCTATGGCCAAACTCACTTGTCTACATGATGAATGATGGCGATGTGCCCCCAAGTCTGAAAGGAAAAAGATACTCTTACCGCGCCACGGGAGTCATCAAACCTCGGGTTTCCGGAAATTACACACTCAGCCTGGCCAACACAGGCAAGGCCAAAGTCTTCTTTGGGGATGAGCTTTTGATCGACAATACGGAGTGGACGGAAGTAGCTACCAGTAATGGCTTCCTCGGATGTTCAAGCCCGGATAAAACAGCCGTCATTGAACTAAAAGCTGGCTGTTCCTACAAACTATCTGTGGAAAATATTGTTACTTTACCACCAGTTCAAAGTCTCGACAATTCGCTCTTCCCTAACGTGTCAGGCCTCCGCCTGGGCCTTGCTCTTCATGAAAACGAGGAGGACATGTTCAACCGAGCCGTAGAGGCCGCAGGCAGCTCTGATGTGGCCGTCGTCGTGGTCGGTCATAACAAAGACTCTGAGGGAGAGGGAGGTGACCGAGCGAGCTTGGACTTGCCGGGCCGCACGAATGATCTCGTTAGTGCTATCTGTGCTGCGAACTCAAATACCGCCATTGTCGTGCAGTCCGCTAGCGCAATTAGCATGCCATGGGTTGAGCAGGCACGCGCTATCGTGCTCGGGTGGTACCAGGGGCAAGAAAACGGCAATGCTTTAGCGGATGCACTACTCGGTAAATGCAACTTCTCCGGCAAGACTCCTATCACATTTCCTCGCCAGCTATCCGACCACGGATCAAGCAAATGGCATCCCGCAGAGGCAGCACAGGACCGCTCCATCATTGGCGAGAAAGTCCTTATCGGTTACAGATCATTTGAGGAGCGGGAGGTCGCTCCTTTATGGCCCTTCGGATTTGGGCTCTCATACACATCTTTCAGCTTATCTGAAATTCGTCTTGAGGGCCAGATGACGACATCTGCGGACTCCATGATTGTCGTCAATGCTTGCTTATCGAATGACGGTGAGCATGATGGCCATGAGGTGGTGCAAGTCTATATCTCGCCTTCGAGCCAGATTCGAGCGAAGGGGCTGAGTAGTTACCCGAAGTCTCTTGCGGGCTTCAGTAAGACTTGGGTGCCAGCTGGAAAAACCCGTGATGTGCATATCAATGTTCGCAGTGAGGAACTGAGATGGTATGATGAAGAAGTAGGCAACTGGAGGGTGGATGCGGGTACCTACAGCTGCTTTGTTGGAACCAGCGTCGCTTGTATTGATAAGACACTGTCATTTGAAGTAATTTAGATACATATAGATTTGACGGTACGTAGGAATTCACGTCAATCTCATCAGCCGCCATGCCAAGACAGTTGCGTAATTTCTGTAGGATTGCCATGGATTGACTGGTCTCCATAACCAGGCAGCTCTCCAGGGTGTTCAGGGATGTGCTCCGAAGTTTAACTACTCAGTGATCAAAAGCGGCAACAGGTGAGCACTAAAATGGAAAGGCAAAGGTCTCGAGTGCTAGGCATTATCCGGTACATATGTACAACGTACGATGTACTCCGTACACCGACGCAATTAATTTAGTCGACTGCACCTATTGGCTGATGCGTGCTGACATGAGCCAATGGGTTTAATGGCTGAATAACAATCGTCATATTAGTTACATGCACGGCTATTATATACTTCATGATTGCCACCAAGACAGCGATTCAAGATGTCGGACTGTGCGTTCACTAGAACCCATTGTGGGATCGACGGGGCTGAGTCCCGCCTCACCCTGGAAAGCCAGAGACACCATGCCGAAGTATGAATGAAGAAGATCTATAGAATTGGTCAGTAACGCAGTCTCGATACTAGCATGCTGTCACCTTACCAGGAGGATCCCCGGGCCCCTTCCCAAACCCACCGACAAGATGTTGGGTCTTTTCGAGCAAGTATCGACGGTTGCGAACCTCATCGACCACGGAATACTGGTCGAGCATCTGACGTTTGCGTTAGTGGACAATCACTACCAGACAGGGGTTCGCATACTATCAGTGTCGCTCCGTTCCAGAACGAATAGCATGTGTCTGCATATTTATTGCATCGGCCATTGAACCCGGCGCATGATATTGTGTCCGCCCCGGGGGGCTGGATATTGGGTAATCCGCGAACTCTATCGTCTAGAGATCCGGTCTCTGTCACTTCAAGCTGTTTATCATCGTCATCTTCCTCGGGTTCCTCCAGCTGGGCTGTTTGCCTTGAAGCCAGCCATGTAATCAAAGCTTCGAATTGATTGGAGCCTGCCGAGAGTAGGGGCAGTGATTTCAGATCATTAGACGTCCGGCGCAAGAAGTCCAGAGAGCTGACCGCGCAATACGTGTGTCCACCTATAAGTTGTCAGAAGATTCACGTGGCGGAAAGGGAGACACGAACTATGCGATTCACAGAAAGGAGACTCAGCCATGCCACCGTCGTACGTCTGTTTCGTTAGACTGTCTTAGTGCCCAATTGCAGACATAATCTCAAGATCTCCACATACCTGACACGCCTCGATAAAAGAAATAAAACCCAGCACATCAATATCCGGTACAGCCTCAAGCCCCGTCTCGCTCCGCCCGCGCAGGACATACCGTATACCGGCAGCACAACAGCAGTATCGCAGATCACGAGGTCCCCCTATACTCCCCTCAGGACCAACAAGCTCACCGAAGCTTCCATCGGCGCGTTGGACTTTAGGAAGCCACTGAAGACACTCCCGTCGCTTGACACGCGACAGGTCATCCCCGAGGATGAGCAAGTTGACTAGTGCAAAGAATGTCGCAGGGACATTAGCCGGATCCCAAGCTTCGTTATCCTTATTTCGCTTTCCTGGCCCAAAGTCTGTGCCTGGGAAGCCACGGAATCCGCCCGAGGGCACCTGGCAGTGGTAGAGCCAGTCGATGTACCCTTGTCTTTCTTCCGGTGTGGTTTTGCTCTGGAGAACACCAAGCACGTCCAATCCTGAGAGGGTCAGGTAGGCGAGGAGCATGCGATTAGAGTCATTGGAAGTGTAAGCGGACGGGAGGAAGGTCTTCAGGCATCGGAGGTAGTATTTGACATGGCGCTCTGTGTTGAAGGTTGGGTTTGGGCCGGTCATTGTATAGGATGGTCGGGGGTCGGACCACCATGTAGTATGACGAGAACTGGACAATATCTCACCAGTAATCCACGCAGTTAATCAGCATGCATCAAGTCGTAAATCAGATCCAATCATCGCAGTTGTTGAGTTGGTGGGGGAGATCTCGACCGGAGCTGCTTTCCCCCCACATGTGTTGCGGCCAAAGAACACTCGGACCAAGTCTCCCAGTTATCTCCGTCTGTGACTTTTAGAACTTCCTCTTGTCCACAAACTTGTGCCATTGTGACCGCCCATCATGGTTTTAATTTCGTCCAAGACCCTCATCCAGGCACACGCCGTTTTTCTGGTTGTGATCGCCGGCTATCTGGTCAAGAACCCGGAGGTGATCACCGACTCCGATCTGGTGTTTATGATGGGAGAAGCCTTGAAGATCGTATGCCCACATCAACGCCCCCGATTCACGAGTCCATTTCTACCGAATTGGCAATGAATCCACCGAAATTGAATTGACTGTTAACACCTGTGATACAGGATTTTCCATCGCTGTCAAGCCCGCAACAATCCCCCTTCACCTTTTGTGCCATACTCATCTTCATCGAATCCCTTGTCGACCTCGTCTTGCTCTCCAACATCCCCTTCCACGAAGCTCTCGATGAAGCTCTCCCCTATATCCGGCCCTTGCGAAATGGCAACCTCCCCGCCGAGGATCTGCAGGTTCTACAGCGTCTGCCCGAATATATCACCAAGTCTTTGACGGTTTACTGGAGCGTCTGGATCGCTGTTGCTGCCTGTCGGTTTGCTGTGTATGCCGCAATTGCGTTCTTTATCTACCAGGGCAAAGGTGACCACCTGGCCTCGTCTTATACAAGCGCTGCGGCTATTGGAGGCCTGGATCGCCTGAAGAACCGAGTGGTGTTCAGCTTTGCTTTCTTCGAAATGATGTTTTGGTTCTGGGTAAGTGGTCAATCTGGCAGGATTGACCCTGTTGGCTGTTTCTCGTGCTAATGTGCTACTGCAGACTTTCGCCACCCTCCGTGAGGAGCGCCAGGAACGCCTGACCAAGCTGCTGGAGGACACCCGTGAAATCTGAGCACTTTGACGGTTCCGGTTCTTCGGTATCCTTTCTATGAGTGTATTACTAGAACGAAATATCCCTTCGCCATTGGAAAGTTATGGCATTTAGACACCGTGTACCGATCAATTAAAACTAAATCGTGGATAAAATAAGACACAGGTGCATCCTCGGGCGATCCTCGTGTTTCCATTCATTCCATCGTCATGACGACATTTCAGCGCTGATAACATATTATCTCCCCTGAAATAACCCAGAACGCTTCATTCTAGACCAGAATGGCGAATGCCGCCGCAGCACCAGCAGCGGCTACGAGCGAAGAATCCTTGTGGGTAAGCGCAGCGACACCGGTGCTAGTCGCCGCAGCAGAGGCGGACGAGGCACTGCTCGAGGCCGTGGTAGAAGCGTTGGTGCCCGTCACAGTAGTGGCACCCGAGGTCTCAGCGCTAGATTTGGTTCCAGTTTCGGTCGAGCTGGAGCTATCGCTGGTAGAGGTGCCAGAGCTGGAACCCGACTTGCTTGAGCAGACAATCTCGGTGGGCAGATCGGTCACACCACCCCGGGCACAGATTGACTTGGCGACCTTGATGGTTGCTGTGGGGAAGGATAACACATCAGCCCATTGTACATGTTCCGCTATCTATTGTACGTAGTCATTTGGAATAATCCCACATTCGCGTACTCAATTGGGGGCGGAGGGAAAAAAGGAGAACATACTTTCCTGGTCTGCCTTGGAGCATTTATCAGCAATGCAGCAGGCGACATCGTCCAGGAAGGACTTGGCCGAGCAGATGCACTTGAAATCAATGCCGCAGTTCTCTGGGATTGAACCTGTAGCACAGGCTTTCTATGCAATGGGCTTTTTTAGCAGGCGGCACATTTGGCACAGCTTTATGTTGACTTTAAACACATACCGAGCAGTCGGGCAGATCACCCAGACCTTGAGCAGCGGCAGTGCTCAGCAGAGCTGCCAGGGCGAAAGTGATGGTGAACTTCATATTTGTAGATAGGAGGTTGTTAGATGAAGTGAGTTTGCAGGGGAGGAAATGTGAGTGGTTTTGTTCTGGTCACCAGGTCGTGGTAATACCCCAATAGATAGGTCAAAAATACACCAATACGCAGATCAACGGTACCCTTTCCCCGCAAAACTTCCACTCTTTTCATGTGGTTCTCCACAAAATTCGGTCTCGAGGTATTTTTGAATGATTGGATATTAAATATCATTCGGGGGTATTTAACCGCACCCATGTCTATCTCTCCCTGTTTCTGTGTCAAATAGCCGAGACACCTGCCAGTGCAGATGAACATTATAGAAACCAAAGATGCCCCCACTGGCGTGGCATTGAGTGAGTCTTTTCGGAAATAACTTGGCCCACCACTTAAGGCAAGAATATATACTCCGTACATACATAGGAAATACGGAACATCCATGGATCATCGGAGAGAATGACGTAAAGACTCAGATGTACTATAGTATTGCCCCTGGCAGATTTACTACTATATAATACGGAATATGCTACTGCGTAGTAAGTGAAGCTTCCAAGTAACTACTAATAGGTCTATTTTATTAACATTTTAAAGGTATTCCAAGGTTATTCGTATTACTTAGGGATTCAAATTTGTACAGATCTTAACAGATCTTAAAGTTAACCAGATGGAGGGTTTGAGTTGGGCATTAATTATGGCGTTTCTTCGAGTTATCTTAGGCTGATGTATGTGAACTCAAGACTCTGCCATCTCATGACATTGCTGAGGTCCAAGACCCCCAGCTGAAAATTCTCAGACTTCCGTTAAAATCAATATCGTTGGTAATCTCCGGGACATGCAGCCAATATTCAAACTAGCCGCCGGATCCCTCAGCCGACCCCTTCACACCGTCCACTAGTACGACTCGCCGCCTGCGCCATTGTGAGGCTGGCCAACTATGGGCGGATAACCGTAGGCAGAGGCGTCTTGCTCGGACGGGTCAAGGTTGAGGTTCGACATAGGGTTTGTGCCTTCAGCATTGGGGAAGCCTGTTGGACGGGCTAGTCCAGGCCCAGCTCCGGTCGAACCACCAACAGGTCCTCCAGCTCCATAGCCAGCGCTTGGTGGTCTCTGATTGTCGCCGCGGGCAGACTGGGTTTCACGGTACTTGGATAGGTAGATCTTGAGTGCTTCAGCGTAATTCTCAAAACCAAGCGAGGTCATGGCGAATAGAATGTCTTCGCCGTTGACTGTTTTGCGCTTCTCCTGCTGGCATTTCTCCGAGGCTTCACTCGTGATAAATGAGATGTACTCGCTCACACATTCCTGCATGCATTCCTTGGCTTCTTTTGCGATCTTCGCGTTGTCAGGAAGCGCAAGCTTCATGATACGAGCCACATTGGCAATCGGAAGCCACCGATCCTGCTCCTTCACCTCAAACTCGCCTTGGTGTCCCTGCGCGTCGTGATGATCTTTGTCTAAGTGGTCTTGCTCTTCTCCCGATTGCGCCTCTGGGTCAAGTTCATGTTCCTTCGAAGGAGAGACCGACGACATGATCAAAACTGGGCTGGATAGGTTGTAGTGGATCTTGGGTTTGCGTAAATGCTTTGTGCTTCGCGTACTCGCTGCGCGGGAGTCTTAGGTGGGGAGAGCGTCGGCCCTGTGGTTGGGATTTGGCAATGATGCGGGGTATAACTCTTCAAGGACGAGGATTTGACTTCAATATGAACGCGATCACGTCGTAACTGCTGTGGAAATAATGCGCCTCACAACCTGGAGTCTAGCTCTTGAGACCCATTGATGATGTGACGCTGATCATCACATGACCGGTCACATGACGCTTACTAGTCACGTGTAAAACAGTAGACAGGGAATGCTTAGTGGATCTCAAGTTCCTTCTCTTCTGTATCTTCTGTATTGACGCGTGTTCTGATCTGCAAAGACCTCTTTAAAACCCAGGATACGGTATTAGGGCCTGGACCAGGGGCCGTTGCTGTAAGTCCAATCGATATGTCTCCATTTGGACAATTGAGGCCATCATGTATGGGTATTTCCCCTGTAAATTACCTGGAGGTCTTGGTGTAGCTGCGGATATTTTTGTTTGGGCTGTGGCATTTATTTCCCAACTATATTTCAAGTACAGACCTCTCTCATCGCTTTGTTTCTTGCGATAGTTCATTCTCACACCCAGTATTTCTATTCTACGATCATTCGGGTTGTACGACTTACACTCTATACCAATCGCAAGGTTCAAATGGGAAATATGCAAGCCCCCGGGTCAGCACTAGTGGTTTTGTTCCCTCCAGAGTGGGCCTGGCCTGTCCCCTGATTTTCCCAACACCGAAGGGGTTTTGGGTCTCCAACATATGTGCTACAAAAACAAAACCACTTCTTTTCGAGCTGTTTCGCTCTTGAAAGAGATCCACCCTGCACCTCGGCCGAATATTGGATCTAACAATCAAGTCCGAATGTGATGCCTCGGTCCCAGCTTGGAAGCGCCGATCGAGTCTTACCTGGGCGACTCGTCCGTACCGACGTTGGCAGCTCAGCTTTCCCCGCGTTAAACTCGTCCCGTCTACAACATACTAAATCATAAAAGGTCTGTGGTTGGCTTAAAAACAGTAAATGGAGCCTCGACTGTATTATATTGTATCATACAACATAGACAAGCATTTGAAATTTGCCCCATCACATTCAAAACCATGATGCAGGTTACGCCCACACTCGGGCCTTCACATATCGACCGAGCTGCTTATCTTTTCTAAGGTTAGTCCTAATATTTAGTCCTATAATATAGTCCTAAATGTTGAGCTCTTTATTTTTATTCATGTCTACTATTTATCCCTATTGGTCCCCGAGAAGCTTTTCCACGTAGCTTCCTTCTTGGAGGGTCGAGAGTTGACGCATACTCCGCACCCCTCCTCACTCCTCCTCACTTTGCTTTACTTTTTATTTAAACCCCTGCGTTACTTCCAGGGCTACAAGCGGCGCGTCGCTAGCTTCCTGCAATCATGGGTCTTGGAGTACTAGAAGATACGAAGCTCGCGCATGTCCCAGGTAATATTCCCTAGCTTTGCCCGCTCAGGCGCGATCGAATCCAGTGTTGCTCATCACAACTTCAAAACTCCAGGTACCTCCGACATCTACGAACAAGACAGCGATGCGAGCGAGCAGACCCCAGGCTCTTCAGGCCTAAAATGCGACTGGTCGGGCGACCAGCCGATTATCCTCGTCCCGCAACCGAGCGATGACCCAAACGACCCATTGGTACGTTCCAGAGAGCAACACACTCTAAGACTTGGTTCCACAAGCACACAAAGCGCTGACCCAAACGATCCCACTAGAATTGGCCATTATGGCGACGCGACGTGATTCTGGCCATCCTCTCCTTCGTAACCATCCTCTGCACAACCCTAAGCTCCATCCTAGCCGCAAATACAGTCACCATCGCAGATTACGAAGAAATCACGTTCACAGATGCCGCCCTGTTGACTGGATATCACCTATGCGGTGTCGGTGTGGCGGGCATTCTCATTGTGCCAACGGCTCGAGTCTGGGGTAAACGTCACCTGTTCCTGATCGGGCATGTCTTGATGATCATCAGCTGTATCTGGGCTGGAGTTAGTGGCAAGAACCATGATAGCCTCATATGGGCACGGATATTCCAGGGTGTTGCATTGGCACCGTTTGAGGCGTTGGTCAATGCCTGTGTTGGAGATCTTTATTTCGTTCATGTGAGCTGGGCTTTCCTTTCCCTGACTTGAGGCATGAGGAGACTGACGGAGATAATACAGGAACGAGGAAAGCGAATGGCTGTATCCAATGTCGCACTGTTTGGTGCGGCCTTCCTGACTCCCGTTGTGGTCGGCAAGATCACCAAATCCATGGGTTGGCAGTGGTCTTTCTACTTTGTGGCAATTTTCCTCGGTGCTTCATTGCCGCTGATGTTCTTTTTCGTGCCTGAAACTGCTTTCCGACGCTCTGATTATTTGAACACTGATTTCAAGCGAAGCGGCGGGCACGGCGAGTCCATGGAGTCTCATGTTTCGCTCAGTGGAGCTTCCAATGATGATACTAAGGAGCTTAGACCAGACCCCAACGGTATGAACGGGAGTTCAAAAACTGAAGCCGCGACAACAGTTCCTGAGAAAGATTCCTTCGCTCAATCACTCAGGCTTTTCAACGGACGAAAGACAGATGAGAACTTCTTCAAACTGCTCCTTCGTCCATTCCCGTTGTTCTTTCATCCTGGCATCTTCTGGGTAAGCAACTCACTTCGAATTTACCCAGGTAATTTCACATACTGACTAAATTTCAGGCTTGTCTGATTCAAGGCGCTGTTATCGGATGGGCAGTCTTCGTCGGTGTGGTTCTAGCAATTGTGTTTCTCGGACCTCCAATGTGGTTCGAGGAAGACAAGACCGGATATCTTTACACAGGTGCCTTCATAGGTTCCATCGTGGGCCTCATTCTGTCTGGTCTGCTTTCTGATTCCATGAACAAGTTGATGATCCGGCTCAACCACGGGAAATACGAGCCTGAGTTCCGGATCCTATTAGTGATCCCCCAGCTCATTTTTTGCGGCATCGGACTCTACGGGTTTGGATGGACTGCAGATGACGTGATGCACTATGGCTGGCTGCTGCCAGACGTCTTCTTTGCATTTTTGATTGTCGGCATGGTGATGGGGGCCGTTGCTGCTTCACTCTATATCGTCGATGCCCATCGTATGTGGACTACTGGTCTTATGTGGAAGTGATTGCTGACAGCTCTAGGCGAAATGGCTATTGAGGCATTTACCTGCATGCTGGTTTTCAAAAACATGTTCAGCTTTGTTCTGACATTCTTCGCCTATAAATGGTTTGCCCACGGGGGCATCAAGCATACCATGATTGTCATCGGTAGCATCCAAGTGGGCATCTGCCTGTTGAGCGTTCCCATGTGTAAGTCTCGCTAATTGTGCGGCATTGATCTTCTTTCTTCAGCTGACTAACCTGCTTACTGGAATAGATGTCTTTGGGAAATGGAACCGGTCTTTCTTTGCCCGTCATGACATCCTTGAGATGCTTCATCTTCGGTAATATGCTGGTAACGTCACAACACTTCGGCAACCCAAGGGGCGGATATTTATGATCTTATGTGACATGAGTAATAGAGCAAGCATGTGCTATGAGACTTTACATCTTTTTTACACAATTCGATACCACAGTCGCCTGAATCACAAAAATTATATATTCACCTAGGCCCGCTAGGTGACGATTGATTAGCTGACGGAAATGGGCATTTCTACAATAACGGTGGTTATTGACACTAGTAAGATTGCTTTTTCTCTTAATTAGTATGTGGTATGATGGGATACATACACGTATTCATTGAGCGTTCTTCGCGTTTAATCAATTTCGGATCCTTCCAATATACCGTTGGTCGATTAAAAGACCAACCATCCACACTGCCACGAAAGGAATAAACGAAGGAAACAGTAGATTGCATATCACTGATCCATACTACATCGGCGGAGCGTTTGATTGGTCCGATAACCAGCCCCACTACAAGTCCCGCATTTCAAGCTTCTAAGCTTCAAGGTCGACCTTCTTCTCGAACATGCTTGATGGTTGGCGTTGCAGGTCGAAGCAAAGGGTGTCGCACCTGCCGACGCCGCAGAGTCAAATGCGGTATGGAGTCCCTTCCGACAATAGACCAGATCCCTAAGTCCTAATCTCCACTAGACGAAGGAAAGCCACTCTGTCATCGCTGCCACAAAGGTGGATTTGAATGCGAGGGATATGTGGAGTTTTCCCACTTTATAGATGAGACTAGTCGCCTGAACGAAAGAGCTGCACGGAGATTGCTGGTACTGTCCAGCTCCAGCTCCGGCCAGAACTCGGACTTTCCCCACCTAGGATTAGAGAAACAGGTCACAACTGTCAATTTTCCGCTAAGAGGGAACCCGCAATGGAGAATGATATTGTGGCTACTCACCTAGTCAATCGCCTCTTCAACTGGAATGAAGATCCGACATCTCCGTATGCGCCAGCATGGACCTCGATCCTGCTACGCCAAGACAATGAGGCGGAACTATCAACGGCCTCTGTACGTGCTTTAGGCGCAGTCTATTTTGCCAAGGTCCACAAGCAATATCAGCTCATGCGAAAAGGCGCATTATTCTATGTCCATGCACTCAGGACATTGCAAACCCAACTTCAACGCCAAGACCAGGCTGTGGGCGATGATGTACTCCTTGCTATCATTTGCCTAAGTATCTATGAGTTGATAACACTCACCCAGCCTAGAGGTTGGCTTTTTCATTATCAAGGACTGGCGAGACTGGTAAGACTTGACGCCTCGTGCATATCGTATTGCTTTGGGGTGCTGATGGCAATCTAGATGGCGCTAAGAGGACCCTATCGACATCAATCAGGCATTGCATTCGCTATGTTGCCCACCCTCAGGTCGTGCGTTGTGAGTATAAGCGCTTTCTTGCGTTTCTTTCTTCACAGTACTGAGTGACATCCAGGCCATAGGGTATATTGTAGAACGAAAACGATGCTTCCTCGAGGATCCAGCGTGGAAGACTACGCCATGGGCCGAGCGAGGCCTTGACTCGAAAACGCCTACAGACCTGCTGCATGATATCCTTTGCGATATCCCCGGCAAACTGCAGGATCAAAGTGACGCCATATTGTGGGATCCCAACATCCCCGGGAAAGAAGATGTCACATCCCGGTTCATTTCAAGAGTCTTCTCAACCTTTGAAGCTCTCTATTCCTGGCGCTGGAGTTGGGAATCGTTTTTTCCATACTCGACCTTCACCACCAAACCTATCGAATACAGCTCTTCGGATCCAATCTCACTCCCTCCAAGTCCATTCGAATCTGTTATCTGGTTCAGCGGTCCTGACCGCGCTACCGAGCTCATTGTCTACAATGCATTACGTCTCATTCTCACACGTGCTCTTCAGGTTGCAGGCGTTCAGCTAGACAATGTTCAGCTTGAGGGAGTCAGTGACCCACTCCTTCCGATGCAGGGGAGCAGGAATGATGTCGCAATCGGGATATGTCGGATGGTGGATTTTCATCTCGAATCCTTACGCAGAAGCTCTGGCACATTCATGCTCATATTTCCACTGAAAGTCGCTTATTTACACTTAGATCAGGCTTCTACCGAGACCAGTGTTGGCTAGAGAGCGTCATGGCGGAAATCGCGGACTCGCATGGATTTGAAGTCGGAAGGTCGGAGAATATGCTAAAAAGGCCGGCTGATATCCTTGCCGGGCTTTGAGAAAGGGCGTCGGCGAATACTCATCATATGGCAATGCAGACATGTACCAACTTTTCTGTAAACGATGTTCATAAAACGAAAATATTTGACTATTGCGTGTAACTCAGCATTTATTCATCTTCCCAGTCCAGGTCGTGCTCCTCATCGCCTAGACAGTGGAGCTTCTTGACCTTTTTCACTTTCTTCCCATCTCGTCTAGCTTGCCTTCTTTCTTCTTTGCCGCTTGTCCGAGACGCATTGTATTCTCTGTCTTTCTCCAGCTGGGCCAATTTCCTCTCCGACCCCTTTAACTCTCGCTGCAATTCGCGGCCAGTTCTTGCTTGATTCGGCTGTCTTGTGTCCGAGTATTGCATTCTTTCCTTCATATCATGCACATCGCGTTGCAAGTCCGCGATCTCGTCATCTACCTTGCGCTCGTTCCACCGACTCTTCTTGTCTCTCTTGTCTGATCTTTTTGACCGTCTCCCCTCCTTCTCCAATATTTCAAGTTGTCTTTTCTCCGCCCTTCGTATAGAGTAGGCCCCGCACCTTTTCATCCGGTTGTCCTCCTCGGCGGGAGCTGTCAGCTCGGTTAAGGAGAGCGGCATCACGCGATCACCCAGAGCTGCCATTCTGGTTGCGAGGGGCTTTGGCTTTGATTTTCATCCCCACACTCCTCCATCAAGAACACCCTCGAATCTCGAACTCCAACAATAGAAAGCACCTTTTCGGTCTTAACAACCCGCACATATAGCCCTTCGGTGCTGAAAATAATCTCATTGGCCTTCTTCAGGTACTGCTTCGTCCGGACAATCGAGACACCTGTACTCCCCAACCCAGCGGCGAGCTGGATTCCTCCTCCGACCATCTGGGCTGTTGCTAGCGGGACAAAACCGACAATAGTACCGATTTTGTTTGTCGCTTGCAGCGCCGGATTTGCTAAGAACGCCTCATTGAGGCCGTCTATGAAAGAGACAAGATCACGTTGGCTCAACCCGGTTCAGGCTTCGAGTTCTTGGGCCCGACTTCTGGCGAAGGCACTGAGATTGGCGCCACCGAATGCTTTGGTTATCTCTGCTTGACGTTAATATGGCTGTTGGTCTTTGGCGAGGGCGTTTCACGATGTATGGCACATGGTCTAGGGCGTCGGGCAAGGTATTGTTGTTGGACGATGGCGTTTTGGTTCTGTGGAGTATAGGAACTGTGCATGCTGCCTTGTTTCAGGAGATTGGGCCCATGGAGGTTGATGCGCATGGTCGGAATTTCGATATGCTGAGGGGGACCGTTGCTCGGGTTGTCGCTGTGAATGATAGTCTTTCTTGGCAAGGCTCTATAGTGTACATGGCGAAGTACGAGACTTTGGGCAAGGTCATTGGGATGTCATGATACCTTGGGCTTCATGGCTACACGTGCAATATATCCATCAGAATACTACATAGTAGATATTATTTATGGGGACTTCATGACTGTTCAAGTCTCTTTAATCTAGTTATGTCATGAAGTTCTTTGCTATTATGCCTTGTTATTAAGGCTCTCATGTACATCACTGCCCGATCATTAACTATGTACACGTGAGTTAGTTATGTATGTAGTTACTAGCTACCTTAGTGTAGCTGAGTGTTATCGTCAGCATTCGAATCTTGCAAGCGCGGAGGATCGACATACATAGCGTATACAACATATACACCGGATTTTAGGCCGCGCGAGATGGCTCTCCCTTTCCGTTTTAGTGCTCACCCCTTGCCGCTCTTTGCTCACTGAGGAAAACTGAGCACGCCCCTGAGTATTACATAATTATCAAACTCGCCCACTGAGCATCACCTGATCATTACATAAGCCGCATGAACTCGCTCACTGAGCGTGACCTGAGCACTCTGATTTGCTCACCGAGGAGCCTATTCCCGCTCACTGAGCGCGCTCTGACTTGCTCACTGAGCACGACCTGATCATTACATAGTTCAAGGGCTTGAGCGTCACCTGAGCAAAGTTGGAGAGCAGCTAAGTCAGCAGCTCACCTCAATAAAATGCACCACGCTAGCCCCATCCTAATGCGGTCGTTCATAACTCAGGGCTTTATTAGCCGGCTCCGCTACCCGGACCTACTATATAATTGCGCCTAGGGGCTTAGGTATATTAATACTATTCTTACTAAGCCGTTAGGTTCCTAGAAGCAAATTGAAGTATAAATATAGTCTCCTAGGAATATAGATATTAATATACGTAGGTCTTGACAAGTGCAGCTGCACCTCGAGAAATTTGGTGCAATGGCCCGGTGCTGTAGGGTGCAGCGGTACCTTGAGAAATTTGGTGCAATTGCCCGGTGCAGCGAACGATAGTGCAGTTGCACCTCTTGACGGTGCAACCAGGTGCTGCCAAGGCCAGATTTTGCCAATAAATTACCCCATTAGGCTTAATACCGCCGATCTGGTAACCAACAAGGCCGTAATTTACATAAATTACATATATAAGTCACGGGATAAGCCAAATTAGGCAATGTTTGCATTGTTTATAGTGCAGCTGCACTGCAGCCAAAGTACCGCTGCACCGAACCTCGCCCTTGGTGCAGTCGGCCCCACGTACCACTGCACCGAACTAAGGCCTTGGTGCAGCC